CCTTCCCCCTCAACAACCTCCCTGTGTGCTACCCACCCAGTCTCTTTTATTTCAGAAATTCCCTGCACATCCCTGTTTACCTGTGTCTAGAGTTGTGTGTGCCCTCCCATGCTAGGGGCTCTTTGTGGGTGCATATGCCTTCCTAAAGATCCTTTAATCTTGTCTTGCCAGGACTGGGATCTAATTGCCCCATCTGTACCAGGCTTCTCCATTCTCCCCTGTGACAACAGTTCTATGCTGCATCCCTATTCCCACTTCCTTCCATGCTCACCATCTCTCCCATGATTGCAACTCTGCGTTCCCTTCCCTACCTTCCTCCCCTGCCAGGGGCTCTATGGGCTCCCTCTTCCCCCTATAATAATGCCCCCCAGTGTTCCTAGAGGTTTTATACTACCGCAGCTTTTCTTTCCCTCATGCTAGGGTCCCCTTGTTCTCCACAGTCTGCCCAGGGCTTTACCTGCCCCTGCTGTCCCCCATGTCTGGGACTGTGGCAGCCACTGTTGTCTCACAGTAGTAGCTCTGCCTCTATCCCCAATTTACTCCCAGCCAAGGGTACTATGGTATGTGCCTTCCTAGTCCCTCATACCAGGGTCTCCCATTCCGTTCTCTGTGCCTGGGACTGTGCCTTAGTATCACCCTGCCTCCCTCCCTGCCTCACCATTATTCTGGCTGGAAGATGAGTGATTTGGGGTGTGAGAGTATCAACTTGCTATCAACTAGTAGGAGGATGGGCAGGAGAAATGCAGGGCACCAGCCCCAAGTGAACTGAAGCTGCCAAATATTTAGAGGGAGAGGGGGGATGAAAAAGCCTAAAAAGGAGGATGCCAGGAGACTGCCCTTTATGCCTGGCACTACCACGGCCTAAACAGCCTAACAGGTTCCTACAGGTCAAAAGGCTGAATGGTGGCTCCAGCTAAGGCCTCCCCTAACAATGCCCCAGCCTCCCCTCTGCTCATCCTCCTGCTGTAGGAACCTGTTAGGCTGTTTAGGCTGTGGCAGTGCCAGGCAGAAGGGCAGAGTCTCCTGGCATCCTCTTTTTTACCCATTTGCATTCCCCTCTCCCCAAAAATATCTGGCAGCTTGAGCTCACTTGTGGCTGGGCCCCTGCATTTCTCCTGCCAGTTCCCCCTTCTGCATGCCAACCCAATACCTAGCTTGGTCCCTGGAGTGTTATAGGGCATGGGGTGCCAGGCTCAGAGGCAAGTGTGGTACAAGCGGAGATGGAGAGAGAAACACCATCTGGCCTAGCCAACTCAGTCAGTTAAGGCAGGGTTCTCCACCTCCTTAGACTGGACCCCTTGGAAAATGCCAATACCGAACTTCCACTGGTACAGTGGACAATAAGCTGAATATGGGCCAACAGTGTACCCTTGTTGCCAAGCAGGTTAATGGTGTACTGGGCTGCATTGGTAGGACTGTTGCCAGCAGATCACGGGGAATGATTATTCCCCTCTATTCAGCACTGGTGAGGCCACATTTGGAGCACTGTGTTCAGTTTTGGACCCCCACTACAGAAAGAGAGTCCAGTAGAGAGCAACAAAAAATGGTCTGGGGGCTGGGGCACATGATTTGTGAGGAGAGGCTGAGGGAACTGGGCTTGTTTAGTCTGGAGAAGAGAAAACTGAGGGGAGATTTAATAGCAGCCTTCAACTACCTGAACGGGGGTTTGAAAGGGGAAGGAGCCGGACTGTTCACAGTGGTGGCAGATGACAGAACAAGGAGCAACAGGGAAGTTAAGGTCAGATATTAGGAAGAACTTTCTCAAGAGGCGGGTAGTAAAGCCCTTGCGAGACAGGCTGTGGGATCTCCATTCTTGGAGGTTTTTAAGACCCAGGTAGACAGATAGTTGAGATAGTTGGTCCTGCTGGGGGCAGGGGGTTGGCCTAGATGCCCCGAGGTCCCTTCCACCCTCGTGTTCTAGGATTCAACCTCATTTAGACCTCAGGCAGCGCTGCGGAGCCCGGGAGATGCCAGCTCTGAGCTTCTGCTTGGCTTTTCAAGGACAGAAAACAACCAGAGCTGCTCTCTTGCCACACAGCACTTGGAGCCCTGGGAGAGGGGGGCACGCAAGCCTCCTAACCCCACCAACTCCTGCTTGAAACCTCTGGGTCCATGCCAGGAGCCTGCGCACCCAGCAGCGCTGCCAGGGCCGCCCCCCCGCAGAGGCTCCCCGTCCCTCCTGGGTGAGAGCAAGCCTCCCGCTATCCAGGGCCCCGCACTGCAGGCAGCTGTGAGGGGTCTGCAGGTCTGGGCTGGGAACGCGTGTGGGTGCTTGTGGTACAAGAAGAATCACGACTCTGAGCGGAGGTGACATCTGTTATGACACCAACTAGATATTTAAAAAAAAAAAATCTTTATTTTCGGGTCCGGGCACCCTTCTTCAGGCATAGGAGGATGCAAAGATTGTGAAACTTCTTCTAGGAGGAAACGAGGGAGGAGGGCATACCGCCTGTCCCCTCGCGGCCCCGTCTATAGCGCTCCTCGGCGAGAGCCACGAGCATGCTCTGGGCGGGGAGGCCCAGCGAGCCGCAGGGGATGCCGGAAGTCCTCCTGATGGGGACGTTCTAGTCTCCAGTTCGCTCCTCTATGGTTTCCGGGAGGGGTCACGACCCGGAAGTGAATCGGCCATATTGCCGGGTGACCTCGGGAGTGGTGCTGAGGGGAGGAGGTAGTGTTGAACCCCCGCGACGGGCTGACAGTGAGGGCCCCTCAGTCCCTTTCCGGGTGAGCGCGGGGCGCGGGCCGGGCTCCTCGGCGGGGGATTCCTGACCTTCCTCCCCAGGGCCTCCCGCCCCAGTGGTCTTGCACGCCCGGGCCCTTGCTCTGTGTGCGTTTCCCACCCGCAAGGGGTCCCTCTGCCCCGGGGTCCCCGCTGCCCAGCCTTCCTTCTGGCCCCGCGGTCTCCTGTCGCTCCCAGGGGCCAGCCCGGCTTCCCCCGGGGGCTGCTCGCTTGTCTCCTCAGTCCCTTGCTGGGGTCGTTTTTCCCCAGGTTTCATAGGGAGCCTGCCTCACTGCCCCTGGCCCGGCTGAGCAGCCGGGGGGACCCTGCATATGCTGCCAGGCTGTTTCCTGCCTCCAACGGGGAGTCTTGTAACCTGCAGCTGGAGGTGTTTCTTTCTCTTTCCTGGGTGTTTTCCAGTAGGAAATTCCCCCAACCCCAGTAGGAATTCAACCCTTGGATTCCTACTGGGAAATCTCCACCCCCCAGCGCCTTGGTTTTTGCTTCCAGGTCCCTCAGGGTGCAGGGCTGGGGTTGCAGGTGGATGCCTGAATAATGTACCTGAAAGAGAAGTTGTTGACTTTGGGTCTCTTATTCCTTTCCAGTGTGCTGTGCCCTGCATGTCCCCCCCCATGGCAGCGTGGTCCCGCCAGGCTGTCCTGAGCCTCTATCGCACTCTGCTGTGCCAGGGCCGCAGGCTGCGCTACACCGACCGTGATTTCTACCTTGCCACCATCCGGCGCGAGTTCCGCAAGAACAAGCAGCTGGAGCAGCTGGAAGACAAGGAGAGACAGCTGGAGAAAGGGCAGGCCTTCCTGCACAGCAAACTGGGGGGGTTGGTTTAGAAATTTCCCTTCTTCCTCTCTTGCTCGGACCCTGCAGCCTTGGTTTTTTGTCTTTTTTAAACTTCTACACCCTGGCCAGATGGTTATGATCCTCTACTTGCAACAGACTTGGGAAAAGAAAGGGGTCTGACAAGTAACACAGGAGCACTCTCCTTTTCCCTTCACAGATGTATTAAGTCTCAAGTAAGTTATTTATTATGACATCACAATGTTTTTTGATGTTTGCTTTAGTTTTATTCCTACCAATGACACACATTTTTGTTCCATGGACCAAAATTAATTGGTTTTCAAACTCATCGGAGCAAGGACCATCCTTCTTGAATACTTGGAATTTAAGGTGGACTTGGAAACTGTCCACTGGTTGAGAGACACAAGTGAGGCTGTTTTATGTTGCTTAAATGCAGTTGAATGCCATGCCTTCCGCTTGTTGTTAAATCAGTTTTGCAGGACTGACTTTATAATCGGTTAGAAAACTCCCTTATATTGTCTTTACTTGAGGACCTACCTAAAACCAGAAAGGTGATAAAAGAAAATCCTTTTTTTACCCATATAGTTAACGTGTGGAATTTGTGGCCATTAAAATATCATCAAGGCCCATGGTGTAGCTGGAACTGAGCAGAGTATTTGTGGAGGAACATGAACATTCTGTTACATGACTTGGTTTCTGCATGTGGAGTGAAACCCAACATGTCTGAGGGCCTTGGCCAACAACTGACACTAAGCAGCAAAATGCTTCCCCTCTGAGCCAACCAGTCCCTAGTGCAGGTGCTTATGTCCTCCTCTGAAGTATCTGGTATTGAATGCTGTCAGAGCGGGAATGCTGAACTAGATCAACAACTAGTCAGAGGTAGTACAGCTCTTTCTATGCTCCTGACAACCACTTAAATAATTTTCATTTTTCCTGGGTGAGCAAATACTTTTATAGATTCATAGATTGTCCGGGGGCTGGAAGGAACCTCGGAAGATCATCAGGTCCAGCCCCCTGCACCAGGCAGGAAAGATGGATGGGGTCAGGTGACCCCAGCAAGATGACTGTCCAGTCTTCTCTTGAAGATTTTCAGGGTAGGCTATTGTACCACCTCTGGAGGGAGCTTATTCAACAGTCTGGACACTAACTGTGAAGAAGTTTTTCCTAATGATGAACCTGAAGCAGTCTTCCAGGAGTTTATGGCCATTACTCTTCATTTTCCCCAAGGGTGCCCTGGTGAACAGTTGTTCACTGAGCCCTTGATGTACTCCCCTGATGTAGCAGTAAGCTGTTACCAAGTCCCCTCTCAGCCTTCTCTCTTTCAGGCTGAAGAGTCCCAGATCCCTCAGCCTTTCCTCATATGGCTTGCCATGCAAGTCTCTAATCATACGGGTGGCCCTCTTATATTGTACCTTATTGTGGAACTTGCTGTTGCAAGATGGCATTGAAAGAAATATATCAGTAAGATTTTCTTAGCAGCATTAGATGGTGCATGAACAAGTATAGCTAAAAATGATCTTGGTGTCATAATTTACGCGTGCTGTTAGTTCTCATGTTTCAGGTTTGCTAACAGATCTGGAGTCTAAGAAACTTCCCTGTGGTTCAAATGTCTTATACTTATGGATGGTAAAAGGGGTTTCATTGCCTTTCTCTGGGGCATCTGGCCACTGAGAAATGAGATGGCTGTCCAGGTAGACACATGGCTTGAGCTCATGTGACAAGGCAGAATGAAGAGCTAAATGGACCATAATTTCCTTCAGTGTGGGAAATCCTAGATTCCTAAGAGCAATGAGCAGTGGTCTAGAGCAATAGAGGTTTGGATTGGGATTCCACTCTTCTGACTCTTTGTTCCATTTTCTCCCCTACACCCTCAAGGTGAGATGGCAGGCGCTGGGGAGCGCAAGGGAAAGAAGGATGACAACGGTATAGGCACAGCCATCGATTTTGTGCTATCCAATGCCCGGCTTGTGCTGGGTGTGGGTGGAGCTGCCATGCTGGGCATTGCTACACTGGCTGTCAAACGGGTAAGCATGGGGAGGTGTGAGGGGAAGGCAGAGTTGGGGGGGGGGGGCATGGACAGGGAACTGAAGGGAATGAGGGCATATAATGGACCCTGGCATAGTAGTAACTTTCAAATGGATTGAGACAGAGATTGGGCACTTCATGCAACCAAAATGTGCCCTGTAATGCCATTTCAGATGTATGACCGTGCAGTCAGTGCTCCTAGCAGCCCCACTCGCTTGAGCCAATCGGGAAAAAGAAGCTGGGAAGAGCCAAATTGGCTGGGGTCCTCCTCACGGTTGTTGAGCCAGGACATGAAGACTAATCTGAGCCAGTCCCTACAGACACTTCCCACCGACATTTCAGCTTCAGATGCAGGTAAGAGGAGCAGTGAGATACCTTTTGCATTATACCAGTTGCACCTAAGCCCTCTCTCCAGTAATAGTGACCTTTAGGTTGGATAATATTGAATCTGCAGAATAGCAATCGGGCATAGACCTTTACCTGGTGTCTTAATCTCTGTTTCTACAAGCTGGCTATCTTGTGGGGGATGGTTTTGGTACTACTGCTGGGGGTACAGCAAGAGACTTAAGGAGGTTTATGCCAGGAATGAAGGAGGTCATCAGCTGCCACAAAATGGGCTCTGTGTCAGCCCCTAGAGATTGAAGGTTTAGACCAGAGGTTCTCAACCTCTTCAGACTCGAGACATCCTTGAGCAGACTTGGAGCACCCTTTGGAAAATGCCAGCTCTTAGTTTTTCACTCTTTTTTGCCTACAGAAAAATAATGAAGCAGGTTTTATTTTTTTCTTTTGCAAAGAACTCAAACCACAATAATGGATTTCTGTTTGAAATCTCTAGGTTTATCTTGTGAATCATGTTTGTAAACCTAACAGTGCTAACTACCATTGTGTAACACTCCGTGGCACCCTTGAAAGGATCTCAAGGCACCCCAGGATGTTGTGATATCCTTGTTGAGAATGACTGCTTTAGACTGAAAACCAACAATCTTACATGGTTGTTTAGCTTAAAACAACTAACAGGAGAGAAGTAGATGGGAGAGGCACCGCCTGTTACTTTCAAAGTGTCCTCTAATAGCTGCATAGAGCCATTTTTAGTGGAGCTTCTAATTTTTTTCCCCCTCAAAGCTTGCCTAAGACAGAAGCATCTAATTGCCCTTTTGGGGGAATAGCTTTGTAATCCAGTCGGAGATCTGTGCTGTTATAGAAGTAATGTCAATGAGATCCAAAGCATTTTTCTTATCACTTACTGGCTGATGGAAGATGTGAGAGAGTGGTCCTTAGGAAAACACTTTTTCCTTTCCCCTGGGGAAAGAAAATGCGTGCCCTCTAATTTGCATTGCAGTGGCTCTTAGCTCTTCCTATCTACTCTGTTGTTTTGGTCTATGTCCAGATCCAGGGTAGTGGTATATCCCCTGCAGCCTTTCCACTTTGAGATACTGTAATCTCATTGGATGTTACAAGCTAAGCTGGGTTGAGCATCTTCTGTTATTTGGTAGGAGGGCTTCAGTAAAAACTCAGGTGCTGTGAGGAATAAAGAAGAGGTATGGTACTCTCTGTTCTTGCATTATGGAAGGGCCCCTCTATGCATTACCTTTATGCCATGATTAACATGTTGAAGTGTCCTAAAATGGTAAACCAGCCATAAAAATGTTCCACGTAAAATGTAGAACATTTATGTCTGGTTTGTTTGGCACCTTAAATTGAACATTTGGTGTGTCTGGGTCTGCTTGGGGTCAGGGTCAGCCATCAGCTAATTGTCAGCCTCAGCTCTGGGACAGTCCAGGGTCTAAACCCAGCCCCAGGTTATACTGGGCTGCAGACACCTGGCTTTCAACTTACCAGTACAGGGGGATCCTGCGGTCATGATCCCGGGCTCCCTCTGCCCTGGCAAGTAGAAAGGGTGAATGCAGCACATGGCAGGAGGCACAATTGTTGGGACTGGGGACCAGATCCCATAGTGCCCTTACATGAATGTGTGCCAGGGCCCTTAGAAGAAGCAATGCTTTGTAATTTGCTGTCTTTTAGTTGAAACCTGACGTGAGGTACTGCTCACCTACAGTTATTAAAATTTGTATCTGTTTGCAAAATAAAACTGTTAGTCTCAGTTCTGGTTAAATTCCAACTTGGGTA